CAGGCCAGCCTGATGAACAGCCGCGAGCCGCCCGGGCCCAGCGCCGTGCCCAGCCTGGCCCCCGTGGGGGGCAGGATGCCACCTCCCCTGCCCCAGAACCTGCTCTACACCGTGTCCGAACGTAAGCAAAGGCCTCTTCTGAAAACCTGCCCGAGATGTGAATCTCACAACCCCTCTGCTGATGGGCAGAGGTGGTTACCTTGGTCTCCCTCCCGTGCGTACAAATCTAAAAAGAAGTCTGGTGGCTCTGGGCAGCCGTGGTGCTCCAGCCTCTGGGGAGAGCTCTGTGAGCAGCCTCCTTCCGCTTTCATGTGCTCAGAGCAGGGAGGCTGTTGGGGAAGAAAGGGATCCCTGCATCTTCGTGCTGTTTAGTAGAATATTAGTAGGCAAAAGATAGATCTGCAAACCTGTAATTAGAGTTTAACTTGGTCTTTATTCCCATCCAGCTTGGGCCACTGCAGATGAGAGGAGGTTCTTTTTCCCCAGCTACGTATCGCAATAGTCTCCACTGTCTTCATCTACAGTAGTACTTCCTATCATATTTTTCAGAATCAGCATTGTTCTAGCTTTCTAACTTAAAAATGGATGGCTTTTAATGGACATGCTCATCTTCCTTAACAGAGCTGAGATTTGTAGAAGTGAGTTTTTATGAGGGGAAATAGCAAAATATCTGGGAAGTCTTAGATTCTTTAGGTTAAATCAAACAAAGCTTCTATTTCTGTGATCATTGAAGGAGTAATGTCATTTCATCGTTTTACATGACCAAATAAGTTAATTAAGTCTCAGTGTTTTATAATATTCCCATCTGGAGTCTTTTTACATAAATATTCTGGATTTTATTCAAAGAAGGCCTCTAGTTTAGGATCCGTGTCATTTCCTTTGTGACTTCTTCCATGCTTTTCAAAACTTCAGTCACTCAAATATCTTGTCAGCCAATCTGGTCAGTTATCCCAAACACAGTCAGGCATTTTGACGTTCCCATCTGATCCCTTCAGCTTCAGAACTTCTTCTAGTGGGTGATTATGTCAGCCTGGCTTGCAGGGCATCGTCACTGGCTTCAGCTGCAGTACAGGATTCTGCTCTCCAGAACAGTTGTGGGGACTCATGTGGTCTGCTTAGACTGTTAGAGTAACAGCTGCTGGTTGCCCTCGTGCCATGGATCACATGCCAAATCCTAGAGGAGGAACTTGTGGCTCAGCTTGTGCAAGGTTAATGGAAGTTCTTGGCAGAGACTGAAACAGTAAAGCATCAGTATTTAAATTCTGGGACATCTGTTTTAAATTGTGGGGTCTTCCTGTTGTTGTGGAATGAGGAGCTGACATTTAGAGGGCTTCAAGTCCCCTCATGTAGGCATTCATTTCAGTTCCAGGATGTGCTGTGTTTCTAGAGAGGGTTTTCATAGACTTTATTCATTCTAGTTCTTGTAGCTTTTTCCTTTTTATGGTTGGGAAAATGCATCATCCTTGATCTGGACCTTGGGCTAGAGGAACAATACAAGTCAATTCTATCACCTTGTGTTATCATGGTTACCCCTTTTAATCATTAGTACTTTACTGGAACTAGGCAGCTGATCTCACCTTTAGATTAATTAAGATGATTTAACAGGTAAGTATTGGTCAAATCACCTTATTCCTCAGCTTTCTGTGATGGAATCATTTAAGTATATTCCTCCCCAAAAATCCTTTTCTGAAATAAACTCAACTGTTGGGCATAATATAAAATATAAATAGTGAAAATCTCTTCACATCTTGGGCCCTGCAGATTAAATGCTCAAACTAAATCCTCTGTTACTCCCGTCAAAACACTGTCAGGCATTGTGGAGGTTCATGCAGACACCTCATTCCTTTTTCAGGCAGCTCACCAGCAATACTCAATTCCTGTGACCAATGTGCTTTTGACAAATGGAGACAGTCAGGTTAAAAGCCAGCAGAGGACGTGCCCAGCGAGGCCTGGGTGTAAAGCTCAGCTGAGGGTGTTACATGGCTGCACACACTGCTGTACAATGTCTGTCCTCTCCTCTCTTCATCCAAAACAACCTCTGACTCTTGGACATCCATACATTTCCTTAAAGGAAAACTAACCCTGAGTCTTAAACTCATTTGAAAAATTCTTTCATTTCTCTCCTTTTTTTATAGATACATATGAGCCAGATGGCTATAACCCTGAAGCTCCTAGTATTACCAGTGCTGGTAGATCTCAGTACCGACAGTTCTTTACAAGAGCACAAACGCAGCGTCCAAATCTAATTGGCCTAACATCTGGGGAGATGGATACAAATCCAAGAGGTAGGAAGGGTTTCTAGTCATTGTTGTTGCTATTTTTGTCCAAGACCGCCAACACTTATTTTCCCCTTTTTCAGGCTGAAAGCAATACTTTTTTCTCACTGATCTAGTGTTTCAGAGCAGTTTTCAGCCATCTCTGCCTTTCTTAAAATACTAAAATACTAGTATGACCATGTTAAAGTCAAAGCAGCCTTTTGGATTTAAAAATAACCACTTGCTTGGGAATGTTACCAGGGGTTTTTGGTTGGTTGGGTTTTTATTCCTCTTTACCCTGTGAAGGCACTTTTTGGGTGCTGGCTGCTTCTAGGAAGGAACTGGTGCAGAAGGATGGCTTTAAGCAGTACAGTCTGAAGGCTGCTGTTGAGTTGCCAGGGGTGCGTTAGGACTTGGGGCACAGAGGTGAACATCTACAGTACTTGCTGCAGCTGTTGAGGTGGGGGTGAAGAGGGGAACTGCCATGTCACATTTTTGTACTCAGTGGTCTGACTCTGTCAGCCAGATGTCCTGTCTCAGTGAACGTTGTAGGGAGTGTTCTAGTTCTCATAGCCCACAGAAATCCCAGTCAGCATTTAGTTGGCATGAATTCTGAATCCTTAACTGGATGGCTGTGAGTAATCTCTTAGTGGTGACATGTATAAAATATCTTTTAAGAGAGAACAACTCAAAGCTCTTTAAAGAAATTTTTGTTCTGTTAGGATAACTTTATTTTTTCCTCCTGCTTTCCCCACCATGATCCTTGAAAGAAAATGTTAAATTTCAGTGTTTACTATTACACTTCAGTGTTTCTTATTCTGTAGATAAGAAAGGTATTTTTGCAGTGTTTCCTTCCAATGACTCATCCCATAAGGAATATGGTTAAATACTATTGCAGAAATTGCTGTTGCTGTTTTCATCTTAATGAACATCATTAAGGCAGGGTTGATGCTTTATTGCTGGCCCTCAGATTCTCTCTGAGAACCCATTCCAGCTGTAAGGCATGGGTGAGTGTTCAGTGGTGGTGCTTCAGACCACTTGTTTTAGTGTCTTTGTCACATGTGTGAAAAGTCTACTCTAAAGTCATCCTCCAAAGTAAGACTAAAACTATGCCTGAAACCCCTCACTCTTTGTTCTCACCAGCATAGTCAGCAGAGCTCTGGCATATATCAAAAGCCACAGAAAATGGACTTCTAACTCAGACTTCTTTTTAGGAGTTTGCTGTTTGGCATACACAGGAGACTAACAGCAATGGCATAATCTTAAAGAGGTTGTAAATAAATACTTGGCAAACTGTTATCTGATGCTTTAGCTTTGTGTTTGTGGAAATTGCTTCCAACTTTTAAATCTAATGTCTCTGAGAGTAAGATTGCATGCTGGAGTTGTGTTTAACCAACAGTTTGCTGAACTGGATGGAGGGGTGGCAAGGGGATAGCAGTGGGAGGAGTGGGTTCTTGGTTGCTTCTTCACTGTCTAGGGTTAGTGCAGGGAAAGTGGGTTGTTCAGTCAGCCCATGCAGACTGCAGAACTCTATCTAACCTGAAGGCTGGGAACCCACCTTTGTTTCAGCTCCTCTCTTTTTTCACCTCTTTTTTTTTTTCCTTTTCCTGCAGAAACTGATTTTTTCAATACCTGAAAGATGGAAGTTTAGCTTTGTTCAAGCTAATACCAACTTTAAATGTCAAAAGTCTTATCTCTGCTGGCTGGACTAAGTGTTCCTGTTCCTCAGATCCTGTAGTTAGGCTAGCAAGTGCAAAACTGACCAACTTGATAAGCTCTTCATAATGTTTATGTTTTTAAACTCAATCCTATTTTGCTGTTTAAGGGAAAGCTTTTCCTATGGCTCTGTTGACGTGTGGTGACTAACACAGGCCTTTTTCCTCCCCTCCAGCTGCCAATATTATCATCCAGACTGAGCCTCCCATCCCCATTACAAATAACAGCAGCAATGTAACCAGAGTTGTCCTTGAACCGGACAGCAGGAAGAGATCTCCAAGCAGCATGGAATGTCCACCACTGAAGAAACCCTGGCTGGGAAAGTAAGAACTAACTGCCTTGGGCTAGAGTGCACTTCATTGCTGTCAGTGCTGTGAATATCACTGTTCACTAGTCCCTGTAGTTCAAGCTGGTTGGGTCAGAAAGTCTGTGTTCACATAATACAGAGACTAAATATTTGGTGGTGGGAGGGGCTTTTTTTTGTTAATGTCTAGAGAGTACTTTTAATGAGAAAAACAGAAGTGTGCATTAGCATTTGCCTTACTTCAGTATATAAATGCCTATCTAAATGACTGTCTTGTTCTCATTTTCTCTAGGCAAGCAAATAACAACCAGAATAAGCCAGGGTTTTTGAAAAAGAATCAGTATACTAACACAAAACTAGAAGTTCGAAAAATTCCACCAGAATTGAACAATATTACACAGCTCAATGAACACTTCAGCAAATTTGGAACTATTGTAAACATCCAGGTAAAACCCAAAGTTCAGTTTTATGTCTGTGAATATTTTATTTTCCCTGAAGCCTTCTTGGAATATTGCAGGTGAACTACAATCCTTGGGAAATCTTAATGGAAGCTAACTGAGAGAGTAGGCAGTGAATTTCAGAGAAAACTTTTCATGGTGTACTTGGTATTATTATCTTCACTCTGTAAAAGTATGTTGGCCTTCATGAGGTCATGCTCAATTTGAAAGGCTTGAAGGTTTAACAGCATCTAAACAAATTCGGGGTTTTGAGCAACTTATGTGTAATTTTTTAAGGAGATTCTCTAACAGTTTCTGTCTTGTGTGGTAGTTCTACAGTATTTCATAGTCAGGATTTTGACAAAGGTGCCACAGGAGAGTGTTTATATGTATCTGTTTATTATCACTGTGCATCCTAGAACTGGTTCCAATTCAGTGGTGTTGCTTTTGCTGTAAGAGAGAAGGGCTGTGTATGCAAAACACAGGGAGTTACCTGGCTAAAATAGCATTTTATTTCCATTTATTTTTCTAGACAATACGCCTCTTAAGTCCTTGGTTAGAGGTCTAAGTAAGACAAATACCTGGGAAGCCTCTGTGTTTCTTGAGTTAAGTTTGTCTTGGCCCAAAAGATACTGTGGTGCTTTCTGCACCTCGGTAGTGACGTAATGCATGTAGAATGTGCCACCTCAGTCATTGTACTAGAAAGTCCAAGGTACGTTTTTATTCCTGCAATTAATTTTTAGAGAAATCAATGTTATTCACGACTGTTGATAATGCTTCTTTGGGAATGTGGTGAGCCTTGGTGCTGCCCATCCTGGGACAGCAGTCTGCTCTCAGGAGGTTAGAACGGAGCTTTCCAGGCAGCACTGGGGTCTCTCCAGTCATACCCCTCTGGCAGCTCACAATGCTCTGAGTACATGGTGCTATTTGGTGGAGGAAATTATTATTTTTTTATATGTATAGGTTTTGCTGTGAGCACATGTAATATTTGCTGGAAGGTACCTGGCTTTAGTTACACAGACTGTTCTACCTGTATTTTGTGCTGTTGGTATCATTGGATATCGTGCTCATTGTTGCAGGTCACCTGTAGACTAGTTAGCTGCTGGTTGGGGTGTTTCTGCCAGGAGCCATAACGCATTGCAATGAACTTTTGGGCTAGGTTGCTTTCCAGAACGACCCCGAGGCGGCGCTGATCCAGTACCTGACCAACGACGAGGCGCGGAAGGCAATCTCCAGCACGGAGGCCGTGCTCAACAACCGCTTCATCCGCGTGCTGTGGCACCGGGAGGGCGAGCAGCAGCCCCCGGCCCTGCAGCAGCAGCAGCCGCCCACGCAGCCTCTTCCTCACCAGCTTCACCTGCAGCAGCAGGCCCTGACCACGGCTCCCACGGCAGCGATGCACGGCAACCTGTCAAAGGTACGGTGCTGTCATAAAGCCAGGGCGGGGTCACCGGCGCTCCGGAACGGCTGCTGCTGCCAAAACCCAGAGCTTATCTTTCATCTCTGACATCTGTCGGTACGCAGGTGATGAATAAACCCCTGGCATCTGGAGCCTATGTCCTCAATAAAGTCCCCGTTAAACGTCGCCTGGGAGCAGCAGGTGGGACCCAGCCTGACTTAAGCCAGTCGGGGGCTGTGGTGGAGGATTCGCAGGTACGTGTGTGAGGGCTGGCCATGCTTTGTGTGGAAGCTTTGGCCTCCTTGCTGAGCAGGAGCCAGTAAATAGAACTTGCAGAATGTTCCCAGCTGGTTCTGTTTCTTTTCACTGATGTTCCATGCAGCCATAGCCAGTCGCTTCTTCAGAGTCTCATTAGCTGCTTATATAAAATAGGGACAATGACTTCAGAAACGAGGTATCAGTATTTTAAGCAGTGTGAAATATTTTTGGCAGTGCTTCATAGTAAACAAATTTGACAGCCGATGTCAGCTTTTCGTTGGCAAGAGTAATTGCTTTCCCAGTGCTTTTTGAGCTTATGCTGTGCTGTAACAGTAGTGCTTGGAGCTTAGAGAATACTTCTGCCTAGAGCATAAGCTGATAGAGTTTAATTCCCACTGGTACCCTAGTGCAGCATGTGTTTCTGTTCAGAGGGAAGTCCTCCCTTTAAGAAAGGAAGTGTGCACGTGACTTTTGCTGCATTATTCCATCAGAAAGTGTGATGTTAGACTGTGACTGTGAGGGTGAATATCATGCAGATCAGCTTCAGTGGTCTTCCTAGTGGATATCAAGATACAGAGGGACTTGTGGATGAAGAAAGAAAGTATCTTCAGCCAAAATCCTTTGGACAAGCAGTTAAGCTGGTGGCTTCCAAGCAAGCTGACAGTTAGACCAATGCCTTTATATATGTGTTTAATATTGCTGTTGGTTTTTTTGTCTCATTGCACAAACCTGGAGGTTTCTGTTCATGCTTCACAGAATACATTCCTCTAAAATTCACTGATGATGTATCAAATTCATTTTAAACTATTACATGTTTTTGTGTGTATTTTTACTATTTCAGACATTTCCTACTTCTACAAGCCACTCAAAAATGGTTTATAGTGCTTCGCACTTGAAGACTTCTATGAAGCCTGGTTCAGGGTCTAAACCTCACGATGTGCAAGAAGCCCTTAAAAAAAAACAGGTACCTTACTATTCATTGGCTGACTGACAGTGTAGTGATCAAAGCACATTTTAAAGAAAGGTTTGGTAGGCCACTTAAACCTCAAGTAGTGCTGGAGAGCTTTCTGCATTAGTGTAGTTTTTGTCATTATCAGACTGTCTTGCAAATGCCTGTCGAAGTTAATCAAGGGCAAGGAGTATTCTTTCCTTCTGGGGTGACTGACTTGGCACACATGGCCAGGTGTGGGGTTTCTAGGTTTTCTCAAGGCATTTCTCTGATGTTAATTCTGCAGGTACGAGACATTTAAATGACAATGTAGGATGTGTTTCCTCAGAGGTGTCTGAAGGAGGCAAAAATTTAGTAGGGTACTTCACAGCAAGAAGCTAGCAACTTTTTATTGTGGGTGTTTTTTTTTTTTAATCAGATACACCTTGTGCAGTTTGCAGACTAGTGGTTTTCATTATGGCCTTTTCACTTCTATAGCTTGAAGAAGAAAATATGATTTATGTGAGCACATGTAATGCTAGACTTCTTACTGACTGAAAGAATTTTCTTCTCATATAGGAAGCAATGAAACTCCAACAAGACATGAGGAAAAAGAAGCAGGAGATGTTAGAAAAACAAATAGAATGCCAGAAGGTAAGTCTGGAATGACTTCTAGTAAATACATTCTGATTTTATAGATACCTGTTTGTTCAGTGTTGTTTTTCCTGGAAATTTATATTTCTGCTCTTTTATTAATACATAGATGTTGATATCCAAGCTGGAGAAGAATAAGACCATGAAACCAGAAGAAAGAGCAGAAATAATGAAGACCTTAAAAGAATTAGGAGGAAAAATATCTCAGTTAAAGGATGAATTAAAAACTTCATCTACAACCTCTACACCATCAAAACTGAAGTCCAAGACAGAGGTATTTACTGCACAAGACACTTGCTCACCCCTCTTTTGTAAATGTTTCTAACATGACCTAAAAATGCAGTAATATGAGATCAAAACACTTCTGAGTGGTATTTTGAATTTGAGAGTGATAACCATGGACAAGCAAGCTGTGGTTCTAAGGAACTTGGCTGACCTAGTTTCACGTGTAGCTCATTCAAGCTTGTTCCAATTCTGCAGCAGGGAATTGTGGGTCCTTTGAAAACGGGTTGGGGAAGAAGCAGGGAGGCAACTGGAACCAACTGCACGTAGAGGGAAGTCTGGATGTCCCGTACGGGTCTGCCCGTACCACTTACACGAGTCTGTCACTGCAGAGGTGGAATAGAACCTTAAAAGTACACATTACAGTTCTGCTTTTCCCTTCCATTTTCTTTCCACACCTTTTTATCTAAGGCACAAAAGGAACTTCTAGATGCAGAGCTGGACTTTCATAAGAGGCTGTCTTCTGGTGAGGACACAACTGAATTGCGAAAAAAGCTGAATCAGTTACAAGTTGAGGTGAGTTTCTCCGGGTTGATGCTTTCAATGTATGAATGTTTTAAATCCCTTGAAACTGAGGGTGACTGTCCCTTATTTGCCTTCTTTAAACAGGCTGCTCGTTTAGGCATTTTGCCTGCTGGTCGAGGAAAGACCTCACCAGCCCAAGGAAGAGGACGAGGACGGGGTCGTGGTGGGAGAGGAAGGGGCATGTTGAATCATATGGTGGTGGATCATCGTCCCAAAGCACTGACAGTTGGAGGCTTCATTGAAGAGGAGAAAGATGAATTGTTACAGCACTTCTCTGTAAGTATGAGGTCACATTAAAAAGAAAAAGCTGAAGAGGAGAATTGACCGAGCTCTGTCTCTGAGGTTAAGTAGGTAACCAGCACCCTGGGTGTGCGCTTACTCGCAGAGAGAGGCAGGTGAAGAACTTTGTAAATAACTGTCCCTTTTCTACTTTCTTGAAGATGCAAGTCTGTTTGTTCCTGTTAGTGCAAGGACTTTATCTGGAGTTCATGGAACAGGCCATGGATAAGCACACAGTCAGGTGTAATCAGGGGTGTAAATGTAATGTCTTCTGTAGCTGCTCTACAATCACTGCCCAAAGCGTTCTGTTAACAGGCAAAGCTAAATAGCTTACTCTTAATTCTGCATGAGATTAGTTTAGAACAGACATTAGAAGGCTGAAAAATACCTATCACTCTCTCTCTGTTTGCAAATTACTTTTCAGATTAGCAGTTCGTATCATTTATCTTGTTTCTCTGTTGCTCACAAAGCAAAGCACCATTTTGCTAAGCAGCATCAGCTTCAAAGTAGTTAAATTTGCTTATGAGCTCATGGTAGGGCAAGCAGCCTGCTGGTTTGCAAAGGATCTGCTGGTATCAGAACTAAGTTGTCATAATAAAGGAAAAACTGGGTTTACATTTCCCTCAGTTACTCTTCCCAGAGTGAAGTGTGTTCACATGCAGAGCCAGTGGTCTCTCTAAGAAGTTTGTGTAATCCTTCATAAATAGACCCAGTATGAAATCCAGGCTTGGTCAAGTCAGTTTCTTATTTCTGGATGCTCTTTGCCAAGAGAATGACTGATATGGAAAACTGATTTTGTAGAATCCTACCCTTCAGGGCTGCTACAGAACAGCAGTAGAGTTCTCTAGAGAACTGGTGATCTGAAGGTTGGCCTGTTTCTGGTTTGAGTGGGAGCAGAGAGCTTTTACAGTTCCTCATACAGCAGGGTAAGCTTTGCTCTTTGGGGGCTGTTACTCTCTGCTTTGCCTCACTGCTTGTCAGAAGGCTGGAGTCCACTACTGCTTTAATTGAGTAGAGTCTGTGAAAAATGGTGTGTGGTTTGATTAATAAAAAAACTTACCACGGAACTTTAGGATATGACAGTGCAGGGTAAGCTTTGCTCTTTGGGGGCTGTTACTCTCTGCTTTGCCTCACTGCTTGTCAGAAGGCTGGAGTCCACTACTGCTTTAATTAAGTAGAGTCTGTGAAAAATGGTGTGTGGTTTGATTAATAAAAAAAACTTACCACGGAACATTAGGATATAGTGACAGTGCCATGAACCCTAGGAAAAGTCCTAGGAGAGGGCCAATCTGCCTTTTTTGAAAAGATCTTTCTACTTCTGAGAGACTCCATGTTTTTGAAGGTTTTAGCTGTCCTTAGCTGCTAAAACCAGTACAAGTTTTTACAACCAACTAGTGCTTTACTCAAGCTAATATTTTACTGGCTTTTAAACTTCTTTTCTGCTATTGGTATTAAATATGAAGTTGATGGTCATGATTTTCTTTTGGGCTGGTTGTGATTCATGCATAAATCCCTTTCTTTTGGTTTGGGTTTTTCATTTGGTTTGATTTGGGTTTTTTTACTCTTTAACTATCATTGCTGTAGCCATTCTGATTTTCACCATTATGCAGTATATCAGTTCTAAAAAGCCAAACCTTTTGTTAATCTAGATGATGACACACTGGATTAGATCTTTCCCTCTTCCCATTAGCATGCTCACAGAATATGATCAGGAGCTCTGACTGTATTCTGGCAAAGTTTGGTTCCTATCACAGAAATCTCTTTTGCAAATTAGGGATCTCTGAAGGACTTGCTTCACAGGTCTGAAACAGTACAACAGTAAAAGGAAGAAGAGGGTAAGGGAAATAATGAATTCAAAGAATTCACTTCTCACCTATAAATGCACTTATTTCCTTTCCTCCTGCAAAATTAAGCTCCATTTATTGGAATAACAACAAATCATAGCTTTTGCCCAAAAATACAGGTACAAATGCTGCAATATTGCTGCATGATGCAGCTGAGATTTCCCTGGCTGTCACTTTTTTTTTCCCAAAAAATAAGGTTTCAGTGGCACTTCAGTACACTGCAGTCGTAGCACATGATCATATTTTTGGAGGAGGATATTACTACTGTTCCTAATCAATTTTTCTCCCATAGAAATTTGGAGATATTGAAGATCTTCAAGAAGAGGATTCCCCATTAAGTGTTGTTCTAACTTTCAAATCTCGCTCAGAAGCTGAAAATGTAAGTAGAATAATGGAATTTTACTTTTTGTGTGTGTGTGTGGTTCTAAAATAAGAATTTTTAACTTCTTGTGTCTGCCTTTATATTTTGAAATTTAGCTGTCTTTGATCCCACTAGTTGGAGCTTGACATTTGGGGGTGGGTGTTGCTGCTGCGTGTAGTGTCAGGAAGGGGGAGTGCCTCCTGCCTGCCCAAGCAGCAGCACAGGCCTTTTGCTGCCCCGGGCTCAGTGGCACCATCAGAGCTCCTTCAGCTTTTTGGAGTGCTGGTAGATGAGCATTATTTAGCAGTCAGCTTTGAGTGAAGTTGCTTTTGGAAGGCTGAAGTGGAGGGTTGTGGCTTGTATGTTTGAGATCTTCAGACGTACGTGAGCGTGGTGTTCCTTGGGTCTAGATCATTGCTGGTGATCTGGAAACTGCTTTACCTGATCCCCTTTCTGAAACCCCTTCATTTACCATACAACCCAGGCTGCTAACCAAGGATCCCGCTTCAAAGACCGAAGGCTACAGATATCTTGGTACAAACCTAAGGTACCTTCTGTGTCCACAGAAATCGAGGAAGAGGAATCTAAGGAAGAGGTATGAGAACGTTAATAACTTAGTCAGTCTTGTGGGGAGAGCGATGCCTCAGAGCTCTGTTAGGATACAGTTTTCTGTTTACTGAAGGAATTCCATAAATCATGCTTTTGCAAACAAGCAGAAACTAAACTGCTTTGGAATAATCAGGTATGTTTCACACATCCTAAAAAGAAAGGAAAAAAAATTAAAAACCCCACACACTTTTTCTTCACGGGATATTGAATTGTCAGCTGTGAAACTCACGTTCTGTACGTGCAGGCCGATGATCTTTCTGTTTCACAGTATCAGTGCTCTGCTCTAGAAGTTACTATGTGTATTCTTTCCTGTAATTAGCAGCACATCAAGCTTTTAGAAGCTTTTCTGTCTAGGCATTCAACACAAGCCTTGTTTTGGAGTGGGTGGGTGGTTGTCTATTCCTGCTCACTGTTCTTTCCATAAAACTTTTGGGATCTAATCAAGTGCATTTCAGCAAGGTGCATGGTAAACAAGAGCCTGGTATCAAGAACAACTGATGCTGTGTTGTGTGACACGTTTCCTGGGATACAGCACAGAACTGTTGCTTAAAGGTATGTTTTCTCTTCCTCCAGGAGACTGAAACCTCAGATTTATTTTTGCACGAAGACGATGATGACGACGACGAAGATGAGGATGAGTCCCGTTCCTGGAGAAGATGAAACTTGATGTTGGAAATGTATAATTTTAGGAATATAGTTCAAGCTAAACCTTTTAAACCATTATTTAAGGAAGTTGATGAGCCAAAAAAAGCTTTACTTTCTTTTCAAACCACAAGATTTAAAGTGAGCAGAGTTTGTTATAAAAACATTTCGGATCTAGAGCTGTGATATTAAGCTAGCCAAAGGCCCAGTAACTTTTTACATAATTACCCAGCTCACCAGGGTGGTGATTTTTTTCTATTTAAGAAGGATTAAAAAGGGGAGGGGCGGGTGGGAGAAACTGGTATTTTCTTGTCCTCTTTTTGTGTCACCTGTATTACGTTGTTTTGGGTTTTTTATAATGTGATTCATTAGTTAGTTTATAATTGAAAAGATATTACAGGTTTTATTTAGCAATATTTTGGGGTTAGAGGAAAGACAAATGTTGATTAAATGTTATAAAAGAAAATGGCCTCATTTGCTAATTGAAAAAGGGTAGCATTTTATTTCGTGTAGAATCATTTACTGTAGGAATTACCTGTGGCTAGATTCATAAATCGTTTATTTCGGTATGTTTGAAAGCCACACGGTTTCTGTCTTCTGCTTTTTGTGAGAGGAGATGGAAGAAGCCATTTAACAGGGTAGTATTATAATATTGTCCAGTTCACTCTGTTCAAGTTCTGCTTCACAGAAAACATCAGCAATTACATGAATTTGAGTGAATTTTCACTCACTGTTGATTTTCCTTTTTAGTTTCAGTTGAAGGTTCAAGTTGGAGTGTTTTACAGCATTGCAGTAGTTGTGAGCGTGAATGTAATGAATTTCTTACTTCTCAAAGAGAGAAACAGCTCAGCTGGCAACCACCTACCAGCCAGTACAAACTCCCCCTCCTCACCCTGTTACCAAATCCATGACGTGTTCAGAGCAAAATGCTTTTTAGCCAACAGAGTGTTGGTGTCCTGCTCAAAGACCAAGGACAAAACAGTGCCAGCAGTGGTCAGTCCCCTGAGGAGGGTCAGAGCTGGGCTTGGAAGGTCACTAATAATCTGCAAGTCGAGTTCTGTCAGAGGAGTGTGAGGTGACCAGCACTGCAGCCCCCCAGGCCCGGAGCAGGGCGTGCTGGGGTGGAGGTGAGGGTGGTGAGTGCTGGGGCCGTGTGTCTCCACTGCTGCATGGCTCTCGAGGCTCAGGAGCGTGGTCTCCACTCAGCATGTCCCCTGGCTCGGTCCATTTGTACCAGACACCTTCCAGTACATTTCATGTACGTTTCTGTACAAAATAAACAGAATGTCGGTGCAAAAGTGCTCTCCTCTTTTGAATAACAAGGTTAGCAGTGTCTTTCCCAGCATGTTCTTGACTGAAAAGCATCCATCTGAACCTTTAAATGCCCGTGGCTCTGAACTTGGCTAGTGGTGTGTGGCTGAGCTTGCCCTTGAGTTACCAGCCCCCGACTCCCATCCCCTTCTGCTGCAGGGGTGCATCAAAGCTCAGCACAGCCTCATTTTTCCATCTCCTTGTCAGCACAAGGGAATGTGTCTTTGGGTGTTCTGTCTCTTCACATGAAACCTCACCTCTATGTAATTAGGACTTCTGTGCTGATCCCGAGGCTAAATTACAGACAAGAAGAAAGAGGGGACACCAGTCCCACGTACTTAAAAGAATGTCTTGCTTTTCTCCCATCATCTCGGATGGTTTTTTTAATGTCTGTGGCTCAGTCAGTGTATATTTTGAAAAATCCATTGCAGCAAACATATTTGAGTCCTGACAGTTTAAAAAATGGTAGCGGGAACAAAAGGATTTATATATTTTTTTGTACAGAGTTTTTTCTTAAACTGTATAATTTTGTAAATATTTTGCTTTTTTGTGTACTAAAACTACCAGCGTATAGATTTCAATAAGAATTGTTGTATTTTTGTATTTGGAAAATGAAAATTACAGTGAATGAATGAAGCTGTAAGAAAAGTTGCAGTAGCCTTTGATGCACGTGGAGTGGAATGATTCCTTTTCATATGGTTTTAGCCCTGGACTGGCAGCAGGGGGTGCCCGGGGGGCTGCCCCCGCACCACCCGGAGGCGCAGGAGGGGCGGCAGGGGCTCCAGCCAGCCAGGTTTTGAGACCTTTGGGTGATTCCTTTTGGGTTTTTTTTCCCCCCCTTTTACAGTACACACTGGCAGGCTTCCATAGATCCTCTGGTGACATGCCAGAGGTGGTTTCCAGACGCAGGGCACGGGGCGAGCGGTGCCCCTGAGCCCGGCGTGGCGGGAGCGTGGGCGAGGGCAGTGCCAGGGGGCTGCTCCAGAGCCCCCTCCCCAGGGGTCCCTGCAGCACGGGGTGTGCGAGGCTGTTCCACTGCTGGGGGGGCTGCTTGCTTCACTTCAGTGGCTAACGTGGCAGTACAGCTTGATTTTTATGGCAATGCTTTATTGTCACATCCCCACAAATCCTCAGAGTACCCCAGACAGAGCTTGTAATCACAGCGTAACCCGTGGCAGGGCGTGCACCAGCCCTGTGCAGCCAGGTGTCACCCCTCCCCAGGGTACAAACACTGACAGGGTGGTGAGAGGGGACAGGAACTGGGGGAAGAGTTCTCTCCATTGCTGAATTAACCTAAACACAAAGAGCGAAACAAACTCAAGAGCTGAAAAGAGAAATCTGAGAACGATTGCCTGCTTGTTGTGAGAACACTTTTTCTTTTTTATCAAAATCATGTGAAAAGGAATAGAGTTTCTCTTGGTGTATAGTAAACTTGTACTATAGTTTTTACAAATTGTGAACTTGTGTAATAGTATAATAGGAGATATTGTTGAATTTCTAACTGTTTATACATTTAAATTCATATATGTAATGTTTGTTTTATTGATTACAATCTGAATTTCTAAGATGCATGTTGACTTTTTTGCAATAAAGATACACTATGGAATGGTTCAAGATTTAGAAAAGAGAAAGAAAATTCTAACTTAAATTGGACAGTAGAACCATTCAAAAAAAATTACAACTATCACAAAAAGAGTGTTATCACTTTTTTTGGGGGGGGGAAATGCATATGTGAAGGGATGTTTACTTGTATGGAATGTGTGCACAGGTTTGTTTTATGTAATAGCCAGGAGAAAAATCCTCCAGCATAGCTGTGCTCTGCAATAGCACTAACAGAGACAGATAAATGGGGGGTGTCCAGGAGAGGCTGTTACTGCCCGGGGAAGGCTCAGAGTTACAGAAAGTGAAAAGTGTTTTACAGACCGTGACGGCTCCACGGCCGCTGGCTGAGGGTTGTAGGATTGCTGGGTTGTCAGAAATAGGATGTACAGAGCATGGAACTGTGCCTGCAGAATTCCAACCCCTCTGCTCTTCAGCCTGAAAACTGACTAGTCTGTTACCAACTTTATTCTCCGTCTTTGCTTCTGTTGCTAGTTCCTGTTACTCCTTCCCCTGCTGCTTTGTGAATGGAAACATTTGTAACCCGAGGTTTTTAAAAGCCTCCTCGCCTGCGTTCCCGTGCCTTACCTGTGCTCTGATAGGATTTTTTACTTGTAAAATTTCTAGTCTGTTTTTAAAGGATGGAAATCCTTCCATTTTTCTTTCTTTCTTCCATGTGCTCTTGTTCTGAGGACGAGGAGAGGTGAGGAAGGGACTTGCTGGTGTGTTTAGTAACCATGTGTGTCACTCCCTCAGTGCCCCGTGGTGCTGCAGTGTCAGCGTTTGGAATGTGAACCAGCTCCTCAGTGTCACTGACCCTGAATCCTCTGTGATAAACCTGCAGCCTTGGGACATTTTCTCATTGCCAGTAATTGAACTTTAGAATCTTCCCACAGTCCGCTCTCCTGTCAGTAGCCACCAGGTAATCCTGCAGGATGCAATGAAGTCCTTGAAGGAGATGGAGCCCGGACAGGGAGTAGGAAATGTCTGGCCTTTGGTTCAAAACAGTCATTTCTAACTACATGATCAGAATTGATTTTAATGGCAAAAGGGAATAAAAAGAGCTTGACAGGGCTCACTGGCATTTTTTTCCTCTCTCTGTGTGGCTTTGGGTTGATTTTCCCCCCAGCTGTTTCCCCCAGCATCAGCCTGTTCCCCTCTTGAAGTCCTGCCCAGTGGGGTGACAGCTCTTCCTGCAGCCCAACCCTCCCGAAAGCTGGTTTGAGGAACACGAGATGTGTTCAGTAACTTTTTATTAAACAGAGAAAAGTAAATTGTTGCTTTAATTACTAGGCCAAGAATCTCTACAGCACCTACAGTCATAGCTGTGTGCAGCCCAGCAGTAACTTTACCTGGGGAGGTTTCCCAGAGATAGCAGTACAGTGTTTAACTAGTCTCCCGAAATCGGGCCCCAGCTCTGTGTGGGGTGTGGAGCAGGTTGTGCCACGTCCACCTGGGTCCTGGCTGAGATCCCTGACAGGAGCCTGCGGCTGCAAAGGGAAAAGTGAGTTTGTCTGACGTTGCTCTGAAGCTTTTCATGTCTTTCTGCTGCTTGTTTCCATGGCGGATCTGCATGTGTGATGATCACACTGTACGTGGATTAATCGATTAACTAACTTTTTCTCTCTTTCTCCCAAGGCTTGTTCCACAATTTCCAGTTAGTGCTTGTTAATTTGGGGGGGTGTTGCTCGCTGGTGGACCCTGGCTGTGTGGAGCCAGGCGTGGAGGATCGCTGCGAGGCTGGCAGCCAGGCAGGGGGAAGGTCTGGTAGGTGCTATAGCCCAGCGCTGGGCAAGCTCGTGGTCACGGGCACGCCCGGGAGGGGTGAGGGACTCGTGCAGTGAGATCTGCACCCGGTCTGAGGGACAGAACGGGTCTTGAAAGGGCTCCTCAGCCTCTGCTCAGCGTTGGGAGAGACAGACAAGAGCTGGTGGAACGTGCAGCTAGGAGAAACTAACTGAGCTTTTTGGAGGCAAGCTGCCCAGCGCTGGGCAAGCTCGTGGTCACGGGCACGCCCGGGAGGGGTGAGGGACTCGTGCAGTGAGATCTGCACCCGGTCTGAGGGACAGAACGGGTCTTGAAAGGGCTCCTCAGCCTCTGCTCAGCGTTGGGAGAGACAGACAAGAGCTGGTGGAACGTGCAGCTAGGAGAAACTAACTGAGCTTTTTGGAGGCAAGCTGGCAGCGGGCAGGAGGTGCCGGGAGCCTTCCCCAGCCCCACCCCTGGGCTCCCCCAGCAGTGATGGCAGGGACCCCGGCAGTGATGCAGGGACCCCCCAGCAC